GGTTAGGAATTCAGCATGGGACTGATCAAGACCCCCTGAATGTGGGTGTCAATGAGGAGGCCTAGGCAATCTATGGGGCCTTGGGTAGTAGATCAGTATTTATCCCTGGCATACAAATGAACTTTGGGTGCCTATCCCACAATGAGAGTTGCACTCTCACTCTGGACTCTTGGGGGAGGGTCTAGACCCTGCCCCGGATGAAATGACAGAATATGGAACCCCCACGGAGGGGATCACCCTCCCTGGGGAAAGGAAGAGGTCTTGGGGGGCTGGTGGGAGGGCATGGGAGGAGGGAAGGGAAAGGGAGAGGGACCTGGGATTGACATGTGAAGCAACCTTGTTTCTAATTTAAATTTTTTTAAAAATTTAAAAATTAAAAAAAACTATAAGGTTACCTTTAAAGATAAATAATAAAATGATTTGGTTCTTTCTTTGTAACCACAAAATGCAGGCTGCCAATCAAAGAACTGACTAAGAAAAATACCTTGCTTGCTTACACTCTGTTAATCTATAACAAGTTGCTTGAGTAAGAATGTATGTGTGCTCTTGGGAATAATTTGCTTTTCACCTGTAATATGTAAAATGTTAAATTATGTAAGGAAATGAAAAACATGTTTTTTTACTTGTAGTCATTGTAATCATTCACTATAAAAATAGAATGTAACAACATTGTAAATTTTATATTGCCTAGAAGATTTTATTGGGGTATATAAGCTGGAGAGGAAAAATAGAGAGAGAGAATATAGAAGAATAAAGAGAGAGTAAAAAAGGTAAATATCAAGAATGAGAGGAGGAAATCACCAGGAAAATAAAGAGTAGAGAATACAGAAGAAACATGAAGAAGGACCATCAAGAGTGTGTATGGGTGTCTTTTCTCTTAATCACTTCAGATAAAAAACATCATAATATGCCGTCTCCATGGATTTCCCTTTGAGTCTGTGCTGCTGGAAGCTGGAGCCCCAGGCAGTGAAAGAATTCTTTTTAAAAATGTTTAAAATACAGGAAAAATCTTTAAAAAGAATAACCTGTAGCTCATAAGAAGAGTTTGGCAATGCCCCTTTTGCTTCTATTGTGTGGAACAGTTTAAGGAGAAATGGTATTAGCTCTTCTTTGAATTTCTGGTAGAATTCTGCAACCAACCATCTGGCCCTAGCCTTTTTTCATTAGGGGTTATAGGTCTGTTTAAATTGCCTATCTGTTCTTGATTTAATTTTGGTAAGTGATATCTATCCAAAAAATTGTCTTCTAACCCCACAAAGACACAAGTAAGAAAGAGAACTACAGACCAATATCCCTCATGAACATTGATGCTAAAATACTCAACAAAATACTGGCAAGTTGAATCCAGGAACACATCAGAAAAATCATCCACCATGCTCAAGTAGGCTTCATCCCAGGGATGCAGGGATAATTCAACATACAAAAAATCATAAGTGTAATCTACCATATAAACAATCTAAAAAAGAAAAACCACATGATCATCTCACTAGATGCTGAAAAAGCCTTTGACAAAATCCAGCACCCCTTCATGATAAAAGTCTTGGAGAGATCAGGAGTAACAGGATCATACTTACACATGATAAAATCGATAGACAGCAATCCAATGGCCATCAAGCTAAATGGAGAGAAACTCAACATGATTCATTTACAGTCTGGAACAAGACAAAGCTGTGCACTCTCTCCATATCCCTTCAATATTGTACTTGAAGTCCTAGCTAGAGCAATAAGACAATGAAAGGAAATCAAGGGGATACAAATTGGAAAGGAAGAGGTCAAACTTTCACTATTTGCAGATGATATGATAGTTTATATAAGTAACCCAAAAATTCTACTAGAGAACTCCTACAACTGATAAATACCTTCAGTAAGGTAACAGAATACAAAATTAACTAAAAAAAAAATCAGTAGCCCTACTATATATATAGATGATAAATGGGCTGAGAAAGAAATCAGAGAAACATCACCCTTTACAATAGCCACAAGGAACATAAAATACCTTGGAGTAATGCTAACCAAACAAGTGAAAGACCTGTACAGTAATAACTTTGAGTCCTTAAAGAAAGAAAGTAGATACCAGAAAATGGAAATATCTCCCATGCTCTTAGATAGATAGGATCAACATAGTAAAAATGGCAATCTGGCCAAAAGCAACCTACAGATTCAATGCAATTCCCATCAAAATCCCAACACAATTTTCACAGATCTTGAAAAAACTATACTCAACTTTATACGGAAAAAAACTCAGGATAGCTACAACAACTCTGTACAATAAAGGAACTTCCAGAGGCATCACCATCTCTGACTTCAAGCTCTATTATAGAGCTGTAATCCTGAAAACAGCTTGGTATTGGCACAAAAATAGATAGGTAGACCAATGGAGTCAAATTGAAATTGAAAACCCTAATATTAACCCACACACCTATGAACACCTGATTTTTTACAAAGAAGCTAAAGTTTATAAAGTTTATACAATGGAAAAAAGAAAGTATCTTCAACAAATGGATGCAGACACATAGAAGACTGTAGATAGATCCATATCTATCACCATACACAAAAATTAAGTCCAAATAGATCAAAGACCTCAACATAAATTCAGCCACACTGAACGAATTGGTACCTTTGAACGAATTGGTACAAGAGACTGCTTCCTTAACATAACACCAGTAGCACAGACATTGAGATGGACAATTAATAAATGGGACCTCCTGAAACTGAGAAGCTTCTGTAAGGCAAAGGACACAGTCAGCAAAACAAAATAGCAGCTGACAGAATGGGAAAAGATCTTCTCCAACCCCACATCTGACAGAGGGCTGATTTCCAAAATATACAATGAACTCAAGAAGCTGGTCACAAAGACACTGAATAATCCAATTAAAAAGTGGGGTACAGAACTAAAAAGAGAATTCTCAATAGAGGAATTTAAAATGGCTGACAGACACTTAAGAAAGTGCTCAACATCCTTAGATATCAGGGAAATGCAACACAAAACAACTCTGAGATGTCATCTTACACTGGCCAGAAGGCCTAAAATCAAAAACACCAATAATGTTCTATGCTGGAAAGGATGTGGAGAAAGAGGAACACTCCTCCATTGCTGGTGGGAGTGCAAACTTGTACAACCACTCTGGAAATCGGTATGGTGGTTTCTTGAGAAAATGGGAATGAGTCTACTTCAAGATCCAGCAATTCCTCTCCTGGGCATATACCCAATGAATGCACATTCATACAACAAGAATATCTGTTCCACTATGTTCATAGCATTATTTGTAATAGCCAAAACCTGGAAGCAACCTAAATACCCCTCAACTGAAGAGTGGATAGAGAAAATGTGGTACATTTATACAATGGAGCACTACTCAGCAGAAAAAAAAAACAATGGAATATTGAAATATGCAGGCAAAATGGATGGAACTAGAAGAAACCATCCTGAGTGAGGTAACCTAGTCACAAAAAGACAAACATTGTATGTACTTACTCATATATGGTTTTTAGGTATAGAGAAAAGGATTACCAGCCTACAATCCACACCACCAGAAGAGCTAGAAAACAAGGAGGACCCCAGGAAAATAACTCATGGTCCCCCAAAGAAGGTAAGAGGGACAAGAACCCCTGAACAAGTTGGGAGCATGGGGGGTAGGAGGAAGATGGAAAGAAGAGAAGGGAGAAGAGGGGGAGGAGAACAGGAGAACTGAGACAGGAGAGGAACAGAAGAGGGAGATGCCTTGATAAAGGGAGTCACTATCGGTCTGGAGAGAGGTCTGGCACAGAGAAAAAGGTAGGGGATTCACAGGGATGACCCTAACTAAGAATCTAGACAGTGGTGTAGATGCTGCCTTTGATGCCCTTCTTCTATAATGAGATTGATAAGTTCCTTGGTTGCCATTCCTAGAGCCTTGGCCCAGTAGCTGATCGAAGCAGAAACAGACACCCACAGCTGAGCACTGATCCATACTCCCAGAATCCAGTTACATAGAGGGAGGAGAGATGACCAAATGAACCAAGACAGAACTAGACATATCCGCAGAAACAGTTGACCTGACCTAATGAGAGCACACAGACTCGAGTTATAAAGCAGGGGAACCAATGTTAGACCAAAACAAGCCCTCTAAATGTGAGTACCAGCTAGGAGACCAAGACAGTCTATGGAACCTCTAACTGTGGAGCCAGGGTTTATTCCCAGGCCACAAATGGACTTGGGGTTCCCATTCCCAATGGAGGGATACTATCGCAGCCCAGATACGCAAACGAGGGCCTGGGCCCTCTCCCAAATGATGTGATGGACTTTGATGATCCCCTGTGGAGGGTCTCACTATCCCTGGGGAGTGGATGGTGGGTAGGTTGGGGGATTAGGAGGATGGGAGGGTAAAGGAATGGGGGACAGATATGTAATTTTCTATATAAAAAAATAAAGAATAACATGGTGATTGCAGTTACTCTAAAGAGGCACTGAAGTATGGGACTTCTTAAAGGAAGAAAGAGACTTACTTCATTTTTTGTCCTTTCTTTTCTATTGTTTGGCAATTTCACACACCCCTAGCTCCCCTTCTCACTCCTCTTCCTCTCTGGCTAGAACTCTTCCCTATTACTCCTTCTCCTACACTCACATCTTCTTTTTGTGTGTGACCCACAGGGCTGGGTGAGTTTCTTGTCCAGATGTGGGTGGGAGGTTATCTATAGGAGCAGGGGCAGTTAACCGCTGAAATGGCCACATTGTCTCCTACACACTCATGTTTACACAATAGAGTACTGATACTTTGAGTTTTCATTAATGCATTTACTATCTGTGTTTTAACACGTGTATGTGTTGATTTCCTACATATGAAATGTGGGAATGAACCGAACCAGAGGCAGCTGCCTTCATCCAGGTAGGAGGGCTGGGGGCTTGAGGGACAGTGCGGGCTCTGGGGATTGATCGCTCTGGAGATTGATTGCTCTGGAGAATGGTCATTTTTACCAGCAGGAAACAAACGCCAGAAGAGGTGGGGAAACAGTGAAGGAGATCACAGAGGAGCCACACTTTATTGACAACTGGATGTCTACATAGACAGGCTTATGGTTTGTACATTAAAGTTGATAAAATTAACTATACAAAGCTCTTTAATACATAAAATGATTTCAACTCATTCTGTGCTTAATTTATATGATTTAATTAATGTCCCCAATGGGTGTAAAGTTACCTAGTCCCACTTCATTCAAAATTATCAACATTAACATGGACACACACACAAATGCATACACCCTACTCCCACACCTAACCAAACATCAGTATTCTATATTTAATCTAGAAAATCATCAGGCATCAATGCTGCTGCCTTTAAAAATGGTGGAGGAGAAGGCAGGTTAAAAAGTTGTCGGTTGAAAAATTCTCAGCTCAGATGCAGGAAACATTAGCAAATCAAATTTCAGACAAGAAAATTACTTTTCTTTAAAGAAAACTGTGTGTGTGTATGTGTGTGTGTGTGTGTGTGTGTGTGTGTGTGTGTTGTGTATGCAGATGAAAGAGACAGACACTGGATTTGGTGTGGCAGGCCACTGTGAGCCACCTGATGTGGGTACTGGGAACCAGACTCCGGTCCTCTGGAAGAGGAGCAAGCAATCTTAACTGCTGATTCATCTCCCCAGCCCCCAGTAGGCTTTCTTATGGTCAGTTGTGACTGAACCACTAGCAGTACAAATATAGTAATTGTAGGTTGTCAACTAAGTGATTTTCTTGCCAATAGTACAGCTCTTCAATATTGGACAATTTATATAAATGAATTAAAAGGTGATATATTTATGATTCAAAATGGAAACACCAATGGAATGAACTCCTAATAAATAAAAACATTGAGTCCTTAGCCAAGTGAAAAGGTCAGCATATCTGCATTAACGTTCCTGGAAGTACAAAGGAGACGTGGTTGTCTCCTGAAAAAAGTCAATGTGAGTCATAGTCCAGATTGCCATGAACAAACAAGAATCGGAGGTCTTCCGCTTTCCGAGAACTCTGTTTCCTCAGCTTTAAGGGGGGGGTGGGGGGGGAGTGGTTGAAAGAGCCCATTAAAATGAAGTTGGGTCAGCATGACACTATGTGCTTCGACCTGATGACTAGAATGAAGAAAGAAGAAAAACTGTTAGAAGGTTTATGCTCTTCCTTTCTACCTGTGTGATAAATCACTGAGACCTGTTTTACCCAGTTTTCCTGGGAGATTGTTAGGAACTATTTAAATGTGGAAGTAAAATATCAAACAGTAAAAATGCTAAAAGTTTAAGCTGAGATTCGGGTTTAAATGGGACCCTGTTCCTCCTGCTGGGTTGCCTTGTCTGGTTTGTGCCTAGTTATGCATCTTGTTACGCCATGTTCAGTTGATATCCTTAGGAGGCCTGCTCTTTTCTGAAGACAGAGGGGCAGTGGGGTACCAGAAGGAGTGGAGAGAGGGGAAGCTGCAATTAGGACATAATATATGAAAGAATTTAAAAACCAAGAAAGAAAATGATTTTTCAATACCAGTTTGTCTACTGCATGTATGAATTTTAAGAGGCAATAATCTGAATAATAGAAAATGGCAAAAAGACTATTCAATTAATACATAACTAATACTTAGTGACTAAAAAGTAAATGTCTTAAAATGCTGTCAAGGAAGCAAAGATAAAAACTGGATTCCCCATAGAACGATGATCATTCCACCAAAACACCATACAAAACCTAACTTAAGCATATGGGCATGCACGTGTGCATACACACACACACACACACACACACACACACACACACACACACATCCAGAGAGAGAGACAGAGAGGGACACAGAGAGAGAGAACACAAACCACACTATGTTGAATTTAAGCGAAAATAATTAAAAACATCCTCATGGCTGACAATGCCCTATGATGCAGCGTGCTCTCTATTTCTATGATGCACAGACACTTTCCCTGGTCTGATAGTTTCATCTTTGTCATCTCCATCATAAGGACATCTTCGTGGGCTTCCAGCTGAATGCTTCTCCAGGTAACTTACAAATGCTCCTTGCCCCAAAGTGACAAGGAAAGTCATTCCAGGCCCATTTATCTTTGGCATTAACAAGAACAACACAGTCTTCTTTCTTAAAGTCATTGGGTTCACCCGTATGCCAGAATCTGAAAGAGAGCAATGAGATAGATATTTCACAATCTGGAGAAATAGATCGAATAATAGAGCAAGTGACAAAGCAGCTGCAACCTGCATGACAAGAGCCCCAGCCATACGTAGCTATTGGACATTTGAAATGTGACTTCCAACCCTGGTGCACACGCTATTAATCCCAGCACTCCAGAGGCAGAAGCAGGTAGATCTCTGAGTTCGAGGCCAGCCTAGGCTACAGTGTGAGTTCCAGGACAGCCAGGGATACATAGGAAACCCTGTCTCAAAAACCAAAACCAAAACCAACTAACAAAACAAACCCAAACCCCAGCATGGCACTGGCACAAAAGCAGACTAGGGGACCAAGGGTGTGGAATTAAGAAGTCATAAGCAAGTCAGATGCATTTCTATATCTACCTGATTTTTTACAGTGAAGCCAACATTGAATATGGGAGGGAAGAGCAGAACTGGATAACTAACTCTAAAACAATGAAACCGAATTCTTACTTCCCACCTCACAAAACTCAACTCTCAATGAACCAAGGTCCTCAGATAAAACCCGATGCCCTGAATCCAATAGAGGGAAAAAGTAGAGATGCTCTGGAAGTCATGGGCACAGGACTTTCTGAACAGGACCCTAGTGGGGAAGGGATTAAGATCAATACTAATAAATGGAACCTTGCGGAGGCAGAGAGGGTCTGTAAACCACATGACACCACCCTTCAAGTGGAGAGGCAGCCTGCAGAGGGGAGAGGACATTATCACCTACACATTTGACAGAGGGTTAGTATCCAGAGTAAACAAAGAACTGAAAGGGAAATAGGTAAACACCAGGAAAACAAATGGGGTTTGAAACTAAGTAGAGTACTCTCAAAAGATAAAGTACAAATGGCAGAGAAATGTCTTTAAAATGCCCAAAATTCTTTGCCACTGGGGCAATGCAGGTTAAAACTGCTCTGAGATTTTATCCTGCCCCAGTCAGAATCCCTAAGATCCAAATTAACAAATGAAGGCAAATGTTGGCATACATGCAGAGAAAAGAGAATGCTCATTGATTGCTAGTGGGGGTGCAAACTGGGACAGCCACTATGGAAATCCATATGAAGCACCCTCAAAAAGCTAGAAGTGCATCCAATACATAATCCAGCTATACTGTTCTTGGGCATATATCCAAATGACTCTATATCCTCCTGTAGATCTCTGAGTTTGAGGTTGGCCTGATCTACAGAGTGAATTCCAGGACAGCCAAGGCTGTTGCATGTAGAAACCCTGTCTGGAAAAAATCTTTATATTATTTATATTATTACCACAAATTTTACTAATTTTTCCATGTTTTGAAACATGGTCTCAATATGTAGCTATGGCTTCCCTAGAACTCTCTCTATGTGTGTGTGTATTTATATAGTTTTTCTATTTGAAACATGGTCTTGTTATAGAGCTACAGGCTCTCTAGAACTTACCATGTAGCCTAGGGTTACCTCAAATTATCAACCCTGCTGATTTCATCTCATGAATTCAAGGATTATTTGTGGGTGCCAACATTACTATTAGAAAAACTTAAGTTATGCTTGTGGCTTTCTATTATATTTTTATTATACAATGCTAGTTTCAAGGAGGAAAATAACCAGGTTAAAACTCTTTCAAGAATAATTACAGTTCCTATAATATTACTTATCAAAATGTAATCCTAAACACTTTTTCACATTACTTTCATGTTGTCTGTTCTTTCGTCAACACTGTATCATCAAAAATACTGAACATTTTGCTGATGTAGTAGGATTATTGTGCAGTAGGAACATAGCATATAGAGATTGTTCAACTGCTGGTATTCTGTTGAGTAAGCACTTACATTGGTGTACCCTACTTTAAAATGATTTCTCCTTGCCACCTCTTCTTACCTTTGCCTATAAATGCCATTAGCCCAAACCAAAATACTCACACCATGCGTGGGTTAAATGGTGTCTGATCTACCCACTGCCACAGACCATCCATGTGCTGATTGTTAAGTCCCAGGAAATAGGAAAATTGTCTGTCCAAAAGCTGAGTCACAAAGTTCTGTAAGACAAAACACACATTTTCTTGTAGGTGCTCTTGGCTGATGTCCATTAGGATAATAAGGAGAGAAGAAGTCAGTGAGATTATGGGTTAGGTGTAAACACCATGGTATCAGGTAAGTCTGTCCTCAAACCTGCTTAAAGTAGTACAGGAGCCCATTCATCAAACCCTAAGATTTCTGTCACGTCTACTGCCTCATAGAGTCACCATGAAGATTAAGAGAGACTGTGCTGACAACCCCATGAGCACATGCTAAATAGGACTGAATGTTTTAGAGACTTAAAAAACAAAACAAAACAAAAATGACTGCCCCAGACCCAATCCCACAGTGTCATCCTCAGCTCTGCAGTAGGACACCCATGGCAGCCTTCCTTGGCCCCCTGCTCCCATCTCTTATGGATCCCACAGATCTCCCCCTTCTAACCATCCTCTCTCCACTTTTTGCCTGCCCCAGACCCCAACAATAGCCGGCACCCCTGATAACCCAAGGGCAGCTCCTCCTAGGGCAACAAATAGGATGAAGGTAGACCCACACCTCTCCTACTGCTCCTGAGATCCAATCCCCCCACTCTTATCCCGGCTCTGTGGCAGAAAACCTGCTGTGTTCTCCCTTTCTTCTCTGACCCCTTTCCCAGTGAATCACAAAGATCTCCAGCCTTCCTTCCTCCAACTCATCCCAGTATCTCAGTCTCCAACACCAGCAGGCATTCCCTGGGAAGGCACCAGCTGAGCAGGCCAGGGAAACAGGCAACACACAGCTATGAAATTCTCTGAAGATCCAGAAAGGACACAGAAACTAAGGAACAAAATACCCAACCAACAAAGACAAATCCAGAAACCAGCACATAGACATATAATTACCCCAAAGTCAGATGCCTAGACACCAACATTAAAATGCAATCAATAACAGCCAGGGCATAAATGTCTCCACTAGAGCCCAGCTATCCTGCCATTAAAGAAATTCAGAGAAACGCAAACAAAAAATGAAGGAAATTAATAGGTCTCAAGCAAACACAAACAGTTGAAGGAAATGAGTAAAACTGTTCAAGACCTGAAAATGGAAATTGAAGCAATAAAGACAACAAAAAATGAGGGAATCCTGGGAATAAAAAAATTAGGAGTCTGAAAAGTAATTACAGTGGCAAACTCAAACAACAGAATACAAGAGATGAAAGAGAGAAGAAATAGACTCCTCAGTCAAAGAAAATGTTAAATCCAAAAACTCCTGACACAAGACAGCCAGGAAATCTAGGATTCTTTGAAAAGACCAAACCTAAGAATAACCCAGCTAGCTCCAAGGCCCAGAAAATGTCTTCAATGAGATCACACATGAAAATTTTCCTAACCTGAGGAAGGAAGGCCCAGAAATAGAAGAAAAATTTCCTAACCCAGTGAAGAAGATGCCTATGCAGGTACAAGAAGCATGTATAGCACCAAATATATTGACCCAGAAAAGAAATGTCCCTCACCACATAATAACAAAAACACTGGACATACAGTACAACAAAGAATATTAAAAGCTGCAAGGAAGAAAGACCAAGTAACAAATAAAGGCAGACCTATTATAATTACACCTGACTTCTCAGTGAAGACTATAAAAGCCTGAAGGGCCTGGACAAATGTGCTGCAGACTCTAAGAGACCACAGATGGTAGCCCAGACTACTATTGAAGGAAAACTTTCAATCACCATAAATGGGGAAAACAAGATTTTCTATGATGAAGTCACATGTAAACAATATCTATCTACAAATTCTATCTATCTACAAAAAATTCTATCTATCTACAAAAGGTGCTAGAAGGAAAACTTCATCCTAAGGAGGTTAATTACATCCATGAAACACTGGAAATAAAACAACCTCACACCAGCAAATCAAAAGAAGAGAAACACACACACACACACACACACACACACACACACACCATCACCAACACCACCACCAACAACAAAATAACAGAAATCAACAATCACTAGTCATTAATATTCCTCAATATCAATGAACTCTATTCCTCCAGTAAAAAGATACAGACAAACAGAATGGAAGAGAAAGCAGGATCCCTCCTTCTGCTGCATACAAGAAACACACCTCAGCATCAAGGACTGACATTACCTCAGGGTAAAGGATTAGAAAAAGATATTCCAAGCAAATGGAGCTAAGAAGCAAGCTTGTGTAAGCATTTTAATATCTAACAAAATATGCACCAAACCAAAACTAATCAAAAGAGATGGGAAGGACACTACATACTCATCAAAGGAAAAATCCACCAAGATGACATTTCAGTCCTTAACATCTATGCCCCAAACACAAGGGCACCCATGTTTGTAAAAGAAACACTATTATAACCACAGCTTAAATCACATATTGACCCTAAAACACTGATAGTGGGAGATTTCAATACCCAGTTCTCACCAACACACAGGTCATCCAGACAAAAACTAAGCAGAGAAATTCAGGAGCTAGCAGACATTGTAAACCAAATGGACCTAACAGAACATTTTACCCAAACACAAAAGAATATACCTTCTTCTCAGCACCTCACTGTTGTGATATCTTTCTTGCACAAATAAATCATGTCTGGGGGTCAGAAAATGGAGCTTACCACTAGCTAACTATAGAGGTCTGGAGGTCTGTACAGACAGGCAGGAAGTGACATAGCTGGGCAGTAACAGTATATAAGCAAGGACAAACAGGAAATCGCTCTCTTCTCTGTGGTGACGGTTAGAAGGTAAGGTGAGCTGTGGCTTGCTCCTTCTCTCTGATCTCTCAGTATTTCCCTCTATATCAGACTCCAGCCTTTTATTATTAAGGACTCCATTTACTCCTCACAGAACTTTCTCCAAAATTGACCACATACTCTGATGCCAAGCAAGTCTCAACACATACAAGAAGATTTAAATAACTCAGCCAGGCATTGGTGGTGCACACCTTTAATCCCAGCACTTGGGAGGCAGACACAGTCAGATCTCTGTGAGTTCGAGGCCAGCCTTGTTTACAGAGTGAGTTCCAGGACAGCTTCCAAAGCAAAACAGAGAAACCTTGTCTTGGAAAACCAAAAAAAAATTTTAAATAACTTCCTGCATCCTATCGGACCACCATGAATTAAAACTGGATATCAACTGCAACAGAAACAAGAGAAAGCCTACAAACTCATGGAAACTGAAAAACTCTCTAATGAATAAAAAATGGGTCAAGACAGAAATTTTAAAAAAAGAAATTAAAGACTTCCTAGAATTCAAAGAAAGTGAATTCACAACCTATCAAAGCTTATGGGACACAGTGAAAGTGGAGCTAAGAGGAAGGTTCATGGCACTAAGTGCCTATGCTAAAAAATTGGAGAGATTTCATGCTAGCAGCTTAATAATATACCTAAAAACTCCAGAATAATAACAAAAAACCTCACATCCAAGAGGAGCAAATGGCAAGAAACAATCAAATGGAGGGCTGAAGTCATCAAAATAGAAACAAAGAATCAATGAAACAAAGACTTGGTTCTTTGAGAAAATCAGCAAGATAGACAAATCCTTATCCAAACTAACTAAAAGACAGAGAATATCCAAATTAATAAAATCAAAAATGAAAAGGGTCAAGGCAGGAAAACAGACACTGAGGAAATCCAGAGAATCAAAGGGCATGCTTTAGAACACTGTGCTCCATCAAATTGGAAAAACCTAAAACAATAGATAGTGTTCTTGATAGCTACTACTTAACCAAATTAAATCAAGATCAGACAAACAATTTCAATAGACCTATAACCCCTAAAGAAATAAAGGCAGTCATTAAAACTCTCCCAAGGGAAAAAAGTCAGGGACCAGATGGTTTTAGAGCAGAATTCTATCAAACTTTCAAAGAAGAGTTAACATCAATACTCCTCAAATTATTCCACAAAATAGAAACAGAAGGAACATTCCAAATTCATTTTATAATGCCATATGCAAGCCACATAAAGACTCAACAAAGAAAGAGAATTGTAGAACAATTTCCCTGGTGAACATAGATGCAAAAAAAATGCTTAATAAAATACTTGCAAACCAAATCCAAGTACACATCAAAAAGTACAACCACCAAGATCAAATAGACTTCATTCTAGAAATGCAGAGATAGTTCAACATATGAAAATGAATAAATATAATCTACCATATAAACAAAATGGAAGAATAAAAAACATAATCATCTCATAAAATGCAGAAAAGCCTTTGGCACAATCCAACACTCCTTCACGATAAAAGTCCTTAGCGAGATTAGGGATACAAGGGACATACATAAACATAATGGTCAATTTACAAAAAGCCTATAGCCAACATCAAACTTAATGGAGAGAAACTCATAGCAATTCTATTAAAATCAATGCAAAGCTGTCCACTCTCTCCATAGCTCTTCACTATAGTACTTGAAGTTTTAGCTATAACAATAAGACAACTGAAGGAGATAAGGGGGATACAAATTGGAAAGGAAGAAGTCAAAACATCATTATTTGCAGATTATATGATGATGTATACAAGTGACTCTAAAAATTCCACCATATAACTCCTACAGCTGGTAAATACTTCCATGAAGTGGCTGGGTACAAGAATAAGTCAAAAAGATCAGTGGCCATCCTAAATACAAATGGCAAACAGGCTGAGAAAGAAATCAGGGAAACAACAACTTTCACAATACCTTTCAAATAATACAAAATATATAGGAGTAGCTCTTACCAAGCAAATGAAAGACTTGTATGACAAAAATCTCAAGTTTTGCTGGGCAGTGGTGCCGCACGCCTTTAATCCCAGCACTCGGGAGGCAGAGGCAGGTGGATCTCTGTGAGTTTGAGACCAGCCTGGTCTACAAGAGTTAGTTCTAGGACAGCCTCCAAAATCACAGAGAAACCCTGTCTCGAAAAAAACTCTAGTTTTTGAATAAAGAAATTAAGAACATGTCAGAAGATAGAAAGATCTCCCACGCTCATGGATCAGTAGAATTAACAGTAAAAATGACCATCTTGCCAAAAGCAATCTGCAGATACAATGCAATCTCCACCAAAATTCCAACATAATTCTTTACAAACCTTGAAAAGACAATTTTCAACTTTTTACAGAAAAATGAAAAATCAAGGATAGCTAACAGAATTGCTAGAGGTATCATGATCCCTTATTTCAAGGTGTACCACAGAGCTATAGTAAGAAAAACAGCACACGACATTGGCATAAAAACAGACAGGTTGATCAATAAATCAAATTTTTCGATGGAATTGAAAAAATCCAAATACATATGGACACCTGATTTTTGGTGAAGAAGCCAGAAATATGTACTAGAAAAAAAGACAACTTCTTTAGCAAATGGTCTAACTGAATGTCTACTTGAAGAAGAATGCTAAGATCCATATCTATCACTCTCCACAAAACTCAACTCAAGGCGGATCAAAGACCTCAGCATAAAACCAGATACACTGATCCTGATAGAAGAGAAAGTGGGGAATAGCCTTGAATACATTGGCACAGGAGACAGCTTTCTGAACAGAATACTGATAGTTCAAGCACTAAGATCAACAATTAATAAAGGGGACCTCATGAAATAGAAAAGCTTCTCAAAGACAAAAGGCGCCATCTATTGAACAAAATGGTCTATAGAATGAGAAAAAAATTTTAATAACTTCACATCTGGTAGAGGACTAACATCCAAAATATATAAAGAACTAAAGAAACTAGATATCAAAAAACAAATAATTCTTAAAAATAGGGTATAGATCTAAACAGAGACTTTTCAATAGAGGAATCTCAAATGGCTGAGAAACACTTGAAGAAATGTTCACCATTCTTAGCCATCAGGGAAATGCAAATCAAAACTACTTTGAGAGTCCATCTTATACCTGCCAAAATGGCCAAGATCAAAAACACAAGTGACAGCACATGCTAACAAGGGTGTGGAGCAAGGAGAACACTCCTCCATTGCCAGTGGGAGTGCAAACTTGAACAGCCAAACCAATATGGCGCTTCCTCAGAAAATTGGGAATCTATTTGCCTCAAGACCTAACTATAACACTCTTAGGAATATGGCCAAAGGATGCTCAATCCTACCATAAGGACACTTACTCAATCATGTTTGTGCAGCCTTGTTCATAGAAACAACCTAGATGTACCTCTACCAAAGAATGGATAAAGAAAGTGTGGCACATTTACACAATGGCATATTACTTAGCTGTTAAAAAATGACATCATGAAATTTGGAGGTAAATGGAAGAAACTAGAAAAAATTATCCTGAATGAAATAACCAAGACCCAGAAAGACAAATATGATGTGTATTCACTTACAAATGGATATGCACCATTAAGTAAATGTTACCCAAGCTGCAATCCACAGACCTGGAGATGTTATTTAAAGAGGAGGGCTCCAGGTGGGACTCATGGATCTCCCTAGGAAGGTGAAGTAGAATAGGTTATATGGGTGGACTGGGGATGGGTGGGGATAAGAGAGAGGGGGATGTGGTGATATATTGTTTATGATTTATTAAAACTTGCCTGAGGATTCAGAAAGCAAAGTCAGTCTCAAGCTATAGAGATCAGGCAGTGGTGACACACATTTAATACCAGCAGTGAGAACTAGGAGGTGGTAGTGCACACCTTTAATCCTTGGACTCAGGATTAAGAGATAGATGGATCACTGTGAGTCCAAGACCTCCCAGATCTGCACAAGAGTGAATGAGTCTAAAAGTAACACACACCTTTAATCCCAACATTAGAGACAAGTATAAGCAAGGTATCAGGGAGGCATTTGTTCTCCAGCCACACTGAGGAGAGGTTATAATCTGAGACTTGGTGAGAGCTGTGGAGACAGGATCAGCCCTTTCAGTCTGAGGTAGAGGTAAGAAGCTAGTGGCAGCTGCTTTGCTTTTCTGATATTCAACTTGAAGCTTGAACCCCAATATCAGTCTCAGGGTCCTTTAATTTATTCCTGCTAATGAGGGATCAGTTATGGGGGGAGACGGGATGGAGGGAGAGAGTGTGGGAAGAGATCGTTGTAAGGGGGGCAGCATTTGTGGGGTGGTGTGAAAACGGTGCAGCGGAAACTTCCTGAAATCCATGAAGGTGATCCTAATGAAGACTCCTAGCAATGGGACACAGAATCTCAACTGGCCATCTCTTGTAGCCAGGTGAGGCTTCCTGTGACAGAATTGGGTTGCATTCAGTTGAGTTGCTGGCAAGAAAGGTCTCATGGAAAACCTCAAGCAACCCAAGTTGATGCTAAGACAAAGGGTTGCTCTATGAAAACTAACATCGGGTTTCCCGTTACCATACAACTCATTCAATAAAGAGAAATCAAACTGGCACCTATATGGAGCCTTCACCCCTACTTTCTAGTTTTTTGGTGCAGGAAGGTGCTCTGCAGGCTACCGAAGAGAAATGTGGGCACCAACCCCACCACAAAGTCTTTGACCTACAATCTGTCCTGCCTAAAAATCATGCAAGGGCAATGGTGGCACAGAACTTGTGGAAGTGATGAACCAATGTCTGATTTGACCCAGACCCAGCACTACTTGGGTAACTAGAACCAGAGACTAGACTAGGTAGCCCAGAGTCCTACAGTAAAACCAAACGCTACTACAGGTCTTTTTAGAAAGATCAATAAAATGATTCCCAATGATATTCTCCTATACTCATAGATCAGTGTCTCACCTAGTCATCATCGTAGCGACTTCCTCTAGCAGTAGATGGGAATGGATGCAGAGACCCACAACCAGACATTATGCAGAGAGAGAATATAAATGGAAGGTCTCCATCAAATCTCCTCCACTCAGAGTTCAGGGAATCCCAAAGAAGAGGAGGTAGAAAGATTGTGAGAGTCAGAGGGGCTGGAGGACAACAGGAAAACAAGACCCTCCGAATCAACTAAGCAGGATGCATATGAGCCCACAGGGGCTGAAGAGGCAAGTACAGGGCATACATGGGTCTGTACCAGGTCCTCTGCATGTATATTATAGCTACTAGCTTAGTATTTTCGTGGGACTCCTGACTGTGAGGAGTGGGTCTCTGACTTTTTTGCCTGCTCTTGGGACTCTTTCATTCCAGTTGGTTTGTTGTGTCCAACTGAGATATGATAGTTTTGCTTCATCTTATTATATTTTATTTTGTCTTGGGTTGTTATCTCTTATAAACCTGTTCTTTTCTAATAAGAGACAGAAAAGGAACAACTCTGGAGGGGAGGTGGGAAGGAACTGGGAGGATTAGAAGGAGGGGAAATTGTAATCAGGATATATTGTATGAGAAAATCATCTACTTTCATTAAAAGAGAAAATCCTTTAATTGTTAGGCTATTTCATTTAATTCTATTTCATTTAAAGAGTTAGAGAGTCTATACATGGCAAAGTCAAAGAGACAGAATTCCTAAGGAAATCCTGTTGACCAAGGAAAACAAAGCTGGCTTAGGGAACATATATGAAAATATATCACATGTAGAGAGCAATGTCATATCTTTACAAATTGAATTTACCTTCAAATGTACTTACTTAGATTTAGTACCATACATTAGAACTATTTTCCATATATAATAAGCCATTTCAATCCTGATAATCCACTCATGTACTTATATGGTCATGCATTCATGCATTCTACTATATGTTCTACTGTATGCTCATGAGTCCTACTGTATACCTGACTTTGTGCAGGATATTGGAAATACAAAGGCGAACAAAGTGTGGCCTGTGCCTTCTATCAAGTGGGAATCATTGGAAGAACTTCAAGTCACTGGAGTAGAAGCTGACATCTCTCTGTGCTCAAAGAACCTTAGCAGAGCCTACGTCATAGACTAGGGGAGTAGAGAAGTAAAGGGCAGCTTTCTGGGAGAAATGATGCATCATTAAAGTCTGGGGAGACTGGAAGTTGGCCGCATGGAGAAAACTGGCTAATTTTCTAACACGTAAAGTGCATACACTTCTACCCATGCACAGGGCCTGCGCCAGGTCTGTGTACATGTTATGGATGCTAGCTTGGTCTTCTTGTGAGACTCTTAACAGTGGGAGCAGGTGCATTTCTGACTCCTTTGTCTGCTCTTGACACTCTTTCCTTCCCATGGGGCTACTTTGTCCAGCCTTGATGTGAGGACTTTCACCTTGTCTTATTGTGTCCTATTGTTTTGCCCCATATGGCAGTCATATCTTGGAGACCTGCTCTTTTCCGAAGAGAAAATAGAGGGGAAATGGGCCTGGGGGAGAAAGGAAGCTGTTGGGGGCCAAGTAGGAGCAGGGTGGATCTATGCTTGGGATGTATTGCATGACAGAAGAGCCTATTTTCAATAAAAAAACAAAGAACAAAGTTACGTTCTGTAATATATAATTCCTTGGGTACGTTTTCTATTATCAAAGAGGATAAATTATGCTACAATGTATGTTGGACTTTGTTATTATGAAAAGCATGGCTGAAAATCAAAGAGGTGAGGAAAGAAGGAAGTGGGGAAAGGAAGAAAAGGCTTTCCAGACTCATGGAGAAGACAAAGGGAAGATACATAGAGTCAAGAAAACTCTTCTCTACAAAGAGACTTAAGGCAACAGAATAACTGGCCGCCCTAGTTAGCTTTTACTGTCTACTCACACAGTCTAGAATGACTTGAGAAGGCAGTCTCAGGGGAGGGATATCCAAATCATACTGGCTTGTGGGTATGTCTGTGGGGAGGTGTGTGGATTATTAATTGGCACAGGAGGGCCCCAGCCTGCTGTGGACAGCACCATTCCCTGGCCAAGGGGTCCCGGGATGAAAAGAAACTAGCTAAGCGTGCAGCTTTGAGTGGGCTGGACTGCAGTATTCCCCTTGGTTTCTGTTTCAAGGTCCTGCATGAATCCCTGCCCTGGATTCCGCCCATGAGGGACTGTAGGCTGAAATAAACCCTTTCCTCTTTGAAGCTACTTTGGGTTGTGCTTGTCACAGCAGCAGAATAGAGCGAGAGCATCAGAACACCAGCTTGAGCTGAGCTGATACGTACCTGCTCTGCTTCGGCATTGATGGTCGCCAGATGGCTGCCCATCCCTGAGCAGTTCCTCTCGCTCTCATGCCATGTCTGGTTGTCATTAAGAGCAAAGTAACAGTTAGACTGGAAGGCTATCCAGCCAGCAGGGCAACAGTTCCAGGTACCTTCTTGGGTGAGAAATGAAACAGGTATTAGTTACAAAGGAGCATTTCATTTGTGACAGATGCATACTTGCCTTACTACGAGTATTACCTTAGAAGACATCAAGTGTCCTTACATGTATTTGCTTTCATATTTAAAATATTTCCAGAGATAGCAATATACCTCAATGGTACTTTCCTAGAATGTGAGAAATCCTGAGTTTGATACTTAGCAAAGAAAGAAAGGAATTGAGAAGGGGGATGGGAAGGAAAGAAAAGGAGAGAATTTTTAATGTAAAATTAAGCAAAATGTTCCTATAACAAAGTCTTTTGGAGGACATTTTATTTGGAAGAAAAGCAAAGAATATGCAAAACTCAAGCATTTCTTAGTTCTCTATAGCTTTATAAATTCCAGAATATAAATAAATAAATAGGCATCTCAGCAAAGTTATATAAACTGAGAAGAAACTGTTCTCATGATATATCTGAATCAAGGTAAAATTGACTGAAGTTCTTGTGATATTTCAGATGTCAAAAATACCAATCTAGGGTAAAGATGCAGACCTGTAATCTAAGCTCTTAGGACACAGAGGCAAGAAGATACCTAGTTCCAGGCCAGCTTGGGCTACATAGTAAGTCCCTGTCTCAAAAAACAAACAAACAAAAAAGCAAGATCTGGACAGTGAATCTGGATCCCAGCCCAACGAGATTCAGCCCACCTAGAGACTTCCAGCTTCCAAGTCCCATTCTCCACCCACGGGACAGGTGAGGTAAGCGTGGGTCTGTCTCCAGCCTGCTTTCTGGTGCCCTGAACAGAACCACCAGAGACCTGAGGACTGCTCAGCAGGTCACAGCCCGACGGGATTCAACCTGACGCAGACTGCCAGAACTATAGTCCCTTTCTCCACCCATGGGGCTAGATAGGCCTGGGCCTGTTTACAGCCCACTCTCCCATAATCTGCACACAACTAGCTGAGGACAAGGTACTGCATACTGCAGCCCCCATCCCGGCAGGAGCCAGCCCACCCAGAGACTGCCAGAGTCCAAGTCCCATTCTCCATTCACAGGACAGGTGAGGATCCAGCCTACCCAGAGATTGCCAAGGCCCTGACACTAGGACGGCCTCCATCCACGCAAGAGGAAAGCCACCAGGGTATTGGATCTGCTCCCACCCACTGGAAAGGAACAGGGGTCACATACCAACCAGGGGAGGAAGAGTCTCCTTCTGCACCCACAGGAAGAAATGATGGGAAGGAGACAATGTAAAAACACACCCACCAACAGAAAAACCAATATGACACTGCCAGAAACTAGAGAATCTACGCCCGCAAGACCTGAACAGTCCATTGTGGAGAAAGCAGATGAGAAAGACCTTAAAAACAGCTTCATGAAAATGATAGAGGCACTCAAAGAAGATATGAGAAAATCACTTAAAGACATGGAAGAAAAAACAATCCAAAAAATACAAAAAAGTGCAAGAAATGGAAGAAAAGACAAACCAAAAAAAATCCAACAAATTCAAGAAAGAGAGAAAAAGACAAAGCAAAAATTATAAGAAACAATTCAAACAGTGCAACCATTGAAAGCTGAAACAGAGACAATAAAAAAAACAGTCTGAAGGAATGCTGGAAATAGAAAACCTGGGCAAATGGTCAGGTACTACAGATGCAAGCATAATCAACAGAATACAAGAGATGGAAGACAGAATCTTAGGTGTTGGAGATACACTAAGGGAAATAGATTCATCGACCAAAGAAAATCTTAAGTGCAACAAATCCCTAACACAAAATATCCAGGAAATATGGGACACCGTGAAAAGACCAAACCTAAGAATAATAGGTATAGAAGAAGGTGAAGAAATCCATCTCAAAGGGGCAGAAAACATATTCAACAAAATCACAGAAGAAACCTTACCCAATTTGAAGAAAGACATACCAATGAAGGTACAAGAAGCCTACAGAACACCAAATAGAGTGGACCACAAAAAAGAAAGAATATTAAGAGCAGCAAAGAAAAAGGCCAAGTAGCATATAAAGGCAAACCTATCAGAATCACACCTGACTTCTTCATGGAAACTTTGAAAGCCAGAAGGTCCTGGATAGATATTCTACCAACACTAAGAGACCACAGATGCCAGTCCAGACTGCTATACCAAGAAAAGCTTTCAATCACTATAGATGGAGAAAACAAGATATTCCATGACAAAACAAGATTTAAGCAATACGTATCCACTAACCCAGCCCTAAAGAAAGTACTGGAAGGAAAACTCCAACCCAAGGGAGTTAACTACAACCAGAAAAACATAGGCAATAGATAATCCCACCTTACCAACAGCTAAAAGGAAAAAGAGGTGGAAATCTACATATAATTCCACCACCATGAACTATTCCAAAAAAAATGAGAATGAGGAATCAATGGTCATTAATATCCCTCAATATTAATGGTCTTAACTCACCCATAGAAAGACACAGGCTAACAGAATGGATTTGAAGGCAGAACCCATCCTTCTGCTGCATACAAGAAACACACCTCAGCCTCAAAGACAGACATTACCTCAGACTTAAGGGTTGGGAAAAGATTTTCCAATAAAATGGACTCAAAAAACAAGCAGGGGTAGCAAGCCTAATATCTAAAAAATTAGATTTAAAATAAAATCAATCAAAAGAGATGAAGGAGGGCATTTCATACTCATCACAGGAGAAATCCACCAAGGTGAAGTTTCAATTTTGAGCATCTATGCCCCCAATACAATAGCATCCACATTCATAAAAGAAAAATTACTAAAACTCAAATCACATATAAAGCCCTACACACTTATAGTGGGAGATTTCAACACCCCACTCTCACCACTAGACAGGAATAACAGACAGAAACTTAACAAAGAAGCAAAGGAACTCATAGAAGTTATGACCCAATTGGGATTAACAGACATCTATAGAACATTCCATTCAAATAAAAAAGAATATACCTTCTTCTCAGCACCACATGGAACCTTCTCAAAAATCGACCACATACTTGGCAACATATCAAACCACAACAGGTACAAAAAAATTGGAATAATTCCATGTAACTTATCAGACCACCATGCTTTAAAGTTAGAATTCAACAACAACACAAATCGCTGAAACCCTACAAACACATGGAAGTTGAATAATTCACAATTGCACCATTCTGGGGTCAAAGAAGAAATAAAAAAAGAAATTAAAGACTTCCTAGAATTCAATGAGAATGAGAACATATTCAAACTTATGGACACTTTGAAAGCAGTGCTATGAGGGAAGTTCATAGCATATGAAGAAAGTGGAGAATAGTCACACTAGAGAATTAAAAGCACAACTGAAAGCTCTAGAACACAAAGAAGAAATCTCACCCAGAAGGAGTAGATGCCAGGAAAAAAATCAAATTGAGGGCTGAAGTCAATAAGTTCAAAACAAAGAAAACAATACAAAAATCAATGTAATGAAGAGTTGGTCCTTTGAGAAAATCAACAAGATAGACAAGCCTTTATCTAAACTTACCAAACAGCAGAGTGTGAACATGCAAATTCACAAAATCAGAAATGAAAATGGAGACATAACAACAGACTCTGAGGAAATTCAGAGAATCATCAGGTCATACTTTGAAAACCTGTACTCCACAAAATATGAAAATCTAAAGTAAATTGACAATTTTCTGAATAGCTATCATTTGCCAAAATTAATCAAGAACAGATAAGCAATTTAAATAAACCTATAAGCCCTAAGGAAATAGAACCAGTCATCAAAAGTATCCCAACCAAAAAAAGCCCAGGGACAGATGGCCTCAGTGCAGAATTCTACCAGAAATTCAAAGAACACCTTATGCCAATTCTGCTCAAAGTATTCGATGCAATGCAAGCAGAAGGGTCTTTGCCAAACTTTTCTACGAGGCTTCAATAGTCTTGATACCCAAGCCACACAAAGACACAACTAAGAAAGAGAACTTTAGACCAATATCCCTCATGAACATTAATGCAAAAATACTCAATAAAATACTGGCAAATAGAATCCAAGAACACATCAGAAAACTCATCCACCATGACCAAGTAGGCTTCACCCCAGGCATGCAGGGATGGTTCAACATATGAAAATCCATCAATGTAATCCACCATATAAACAAGTTGAGAAACAAAAATCACATGATCATCTAACTAGATACTGAAAAAGCCTTTGACAAAATTCAACATCCCTTCATGATAAAGGTCTTGGAGAGATCCTGGATAACAGGAACTTACCTTAACATAATAAAAGCTATATACAGCAAACCAACAGCCAACATCCAAACTAAATGGACAGAAACTCAACATAATTCCTCTAAGATCAGGAACAAGACAAGGCTGTCCACTATTCCCAAACTTCTTCAATATTGTACTTAAAGTTCTAGCTAAAGCAATATAACAATGAAAGGAGATCAAGGGCATACATATTGGAAAGGAAGAGGTCAAACTTTCACTATTTGCAGATGATATGATAGTTTACATAAGTGACCTGAAAAACTCTACCAGGGAACTCCTGCAGCTGATAAATACTTTCAGCAAAGTGGCAGGCTACAAGATCAACTCAAGAAAATCAGTAGCCCTACTGTATACAGACGATAAAAGGGCTGAGAAAGAAATCAGAGAAACATCACCCTTTACAATAGCCACAAACAACATAAAATACCTTGGGGTAACACTAACCAAACAAGTGAAAGACCTATATCGCAAGAACTTTGAGTCTTTAAAGAAAGAAATTAAAAAAAGAAACCAGAAGATGGAAATATCTCCCATGCTCTTAGATAGGTAGGATCAACATAGTATAAATGGCAGTCTTACCGAAAGCAACACACAGATTTAACACAATCCTCATTAAAATCACAGCACAATTCTTCACAGACCTTGAAAGAACAATAATCAACTTTATGAGGAAAAACAAAAGACCCAGGATAGCCAAAGCAACCCTATTCAACAAGGCAACATCCAGAGACATCACCATCCCTGACCTCAAGCTCTATTACAGAGCTATAGTCCTGAAAACAGCTTGTTATTGGCACAAAAATTGACAGATAGACAAATGGAATCAAATTGAACACCCTGACATTAACCCATACACGTATGAACACCTAATTTTTGACAAAGAAGCTAAAATTATACAATGGAAAAAAGAAAGCATCTTCAAGAAATGGTGCTGGCATAATTGGAGGCTGACTGCAGATAGATCCATGCCTATCGCCATGCACAAAACTTAAATCCAAATGGATCAAAGACCTCAACATGAATCCAGCCACACTGAACCTCTTAGAAGAGAAAGTGGGAGGCACCCTTCGATGAATTGGTACAGGAGACTGCTTCCTGAATGTAACATCAGTAGCACAGACACTAAGATCAACAATTAATAAATGGGACCTCCTGAAACTGAGAAGCTTCTGCAAGGCAAAGGACACAGTCAGCAAGACAAAAAGGCAACCCAAAGATTGGGAAAAGATATTCACTAACCCCACATCTGACAGAGGGCTGATCTCCACAATCTACAAAGAACTCAAGAAGCAAGTCTCCAAAACACCAAAGGACCCAATCAAAAATGGAGTACAGAACTAAATAGAGAATTCTCAGTAGAGGAGTCTAAAATGGCTGAGAGACACTTGAGAAAGTGTTCAATGTCCTTAGCCATCCAGGAAATGCAAATCAAAACAACTCTGAGATACCATCTTACTTCTGCCAGAATGGCTAAAATCAAAAACTCCAATGACAGTTTATGCTGGAGAGGATGTGGAGAAAGGGGAACATTCCTCCACTGCTGGTAGGAGTGCCAACTTGTACAGCCGCTTTGGAAATCAGTATGGAGATTCCTCAGGAAAATGGGAATCAGTCCACCACAAGACCCAGAAATTCCACTCTTAGGCATATACCAAAAAGATGCACATTCATACAACAAGGATGTCTGTTCCACTGTGTTCTTAGCATCATTATTTGTAATAGCCAGAACCTGGAAGCAACCTAGATGCCCCTCAACTGAAGAGTGGATAGAGAAAATGTGGTACATTTACACAGTGAAGTACTATTCAGTGGAAAAAACAAACAAACAATGGAATCTTGAAATTTGAAGGCAAATGGATGCACTAGAAGAAACCATCCTGAGTGAGCCAACCCAGTCACAAAAAGAGAAACATGGTATGTACTCACTCATTTACAGATTTTAGACATGAATCAAGGGAGTGCCAGCATACAATCCCACTGCCAGAGATTCTGGGAAACAAAACCTTCATCCAGCGACTGATAAAAGCAGAGGCAGATACCCACATATAAACACTGAACTGAACTCCTGGAATCCAGTGTGAGAATAGGAGAACTAATGAGCAAAGGAGCTAAGACTGGACAGGTTTAACCCACAGAAACAGTTGACCTGAACAAGGGGGAGCTCTTGGACCCCAGACTGATGGCTGTGTGGAAAGCATGGGACTGACCGAGACCTCCTGAATGTGGGTGTCAGTGAGGAGGCCTAGGTAATCTATGGGGCCTTGGGTAGTATTTATCCCTTGTGTACAAATAGAATTTGAATGCCCATGCCACAATGTGGGATGCTCTCTCAGACAGGACTCTTGAAGGAGGGCCTAGTCCCTACCCTGGAAGACATGACAGACTCTGGAGATCCACCATGGAGGGCCTCACCCTCCCTGGGGATCAGAGTGGAGATTGGGTGGAGATCTGGGGTGGGGTCTGGTGGGGAAGAATGGGGAGGAGGGGAGGGAGAGGGAGCTGTGATTGATATGTGAATCAAGCTTGTTTCTAACTTAAATTTAAAAAAGGGGGAAAAAACAAGATCTGTTGATGATGAGCAATTACCCAGTATGTACAAGGTCCTGCACTCATGCCCAGCACCACAAAAGCAAACTAGGTTATGTGTTGCACTGTTGGACTACAGTCATGAGAAGTCATTCTGACCAGTTGGCTGTTATTCTTCTTTGTAGCCAGTTCTCACGTTGTATTGCATGGTTCCCTTCCGACTTACTCAAGTCTCATGTTGTGATATATTGTTTCTTTCTGACTTACTATGGTCTCATGCTCTGTTACATTGTTTCTTTCTGATTTACTATGGATGCTCTTTAAAGGCTGAACCAAAGCAAGCAAGAAGTTTCCTCTGCTACCTGTAGCTCCGGGCTCTGGCTCCCCTCGGGTACATGTTAGCCTTGTGTGGTAGTCTGAGAACTTCACCATTCCTGCTCTTCTCTCCCAACGTGAAAAGTAACGATGTGTAACTGTCAGGCAGGAAAAACAGTTATTCCCCAGGTAGCCACTGATTTAGAAAAGTGAGCGGATCTCCCCACCCTTCTTCCCAGAGTTGGTCCCCACACATTTTTTCTTTCCTATGCCATTCTGTCATCCCAAGGAAATTCATTGGAAGCAACTGCAGAAAGCTAATATTTTGTAATCGTTTTACCTGTTTTGTGATTTGCATTGGAAATTTTGGAATCTTTTGGGTGCATGCCATTTTCAGTTTATTTTATCAGAATGTGCATAAGAGTGAGGGTTTTACTAAACACTGGGCTACTTCTACAAAGTTTTAGGAACTTCATGAGTTTAGTAATATTTTTACTATATTTCAACTATTTGAAATATATTCAAATATTAAAAAGAAAAATAAAATGAATATGCAGGATGGAAAATTACCATAATGTGAACGCTTGGGGCAAAAACTGCCAAGTTCAAGAAACAGGATATTGTCAACACCCCAGGTAGCCATCATACCCCAAACAAAGCCCTCTCTTCCTTTGAAGTTAACCGTCTTCACCCTGTGCTGTGCTTTGCAGTCCAGCCTGGAACCACACATATCAGAACAGCCTTCTTTGCGATTGTCTAGGGATGAACTCAGCTGGCATGTGTCCTTTGGTGCTGACTTATGCTCAGCACTGTTTCTGAAGCAATACTGCTGCCCACAGTTTTAGCTCACCCATTTTCATAGCTAGAAAGTGATGTATCATCTTCACACAGCTTCTGGTACATTCATTGCTTCCTGAGTTGGCTGACATGAACCGTGTTACTCTGAGCATTTTTGACCTTGCATCCTAAAGCAAGTAAGTGTGCATTTCTGTTGCTGGTGGTAGTCACAAGTGTGGCAAATAGGGTATGTGGTTAAAACTTTCCAAACAGGCTTAATACTTAGTGTTCTCTCCTGTGGGTATGCACCATGGGCCCAGTTTTCTGTCCTCGTCATCAGATGCTGTACTTTTAGTCATTGCCATCCTGGTGTTTTACAGTGTTGACTCATTGTGAATTGCAGTTTTACTTCCCTAACAGCCAAGGAGGTTGACAGTGTATGTGTTTGTAATCTTTTCATTTTCTCTTCTCTATAATGTCTACTTAAGACTTTGTCCATTTTTTCATTATATTGTTGACATGTTTCAAATTGTTTTAACATTCCAGACATTAATGTAGTACAAATATTCTGTCCTGTAGAGTTCTGTTTTCACCATAGTGGGCTGTTGTTTGCACATAATATGATGTAAGAACCCAATTTCATTTATTAAACATGGTCAATGATGTCTAAAACATTAGTTTAACAAAACTCTCCTTTCCCCATAGCTCTGAAATATCCCCCTTTATTTTAGATAAGGAACCACTCAAGCAGAATCCATACCTCAACTATCTATTCTTTCCTCCAGGCTGTTGTCTTAGACTGACATTGTATTAATCCAGTCTAATAACCTTATCTTAAAATATGGTTTCGGATAGAACAAGACTTTGTATGAGGTCAGTTGCGCTGATGGCTTCATGGGTGTATGTTTGTCCCCAGTCTTGAGGTGGACACATTTAATGTGCAGAGCTTTTATGTGTCAATTATGCCTCAGCAAAGTGCTTGTTTTGGAAGCAAACAGAGCAACCTTACATAGACTGGAAAATCAAGAGCACAGCTCTAATGTTAAGCATGAGACAGAGAATGCATTGTATGCAGACACACTGGGAAAAGTGAAGTTTCAGGCACACATGTTGGAAATCTTTGGGGAAAATAATTCAAGATGAGCTTTGTGTGTTTAGTAACTTACCCAAACAACTTGCGATGAAGCAAGCACTGAGAAGTGAGATGAAAACAGCAGCAAAAACCCAAGGGATCAACTTGGGGTGTCTGGCATCTTGTGCTAAGACAGAAAGAAAAATAGGTTAGTTTCTTCTCTGCCATGAGGGAAGCCAAGATTATCAAGCAGCATGCTAAATATGAAAGTACAGAAAGCATTTTAGGAGACAGACTTAAGTATTTCCTGTAAATAAACCAATCTTAGAGCCTGCTAGTAAATAACAGATAAATAAGTAAACTTGTCTTTATAAAGAAAGGTTTTTTATGAGCAGAACATAAAAATGAAAGCCATAAAAATTAAAGCTTCTATTTAGCACAAGTAATGGAAAGTGTGCACATGCGTGTGCACATGCACACACACACACACACACACACACAAGAAAGCCCTTGCTGTAATATCACTATCAAACACGCATAAAGCATTTCTAAAATTGGTTCAAAAACTTAGGAAAATTACGAGCAGGATATTTAGTCTGCTGAGACTATAAGTGGTCATTAGACAAAGGAAAATATGCTCCATCAAACAACTACAAACCAAAATACTGTGGCAAGGGTTTCACATTGATCCAAGAAGCATATTGAAAGCATCCAGTGTTAGCCTGGCTGAGAGGAAGCACTCAAGAGAGGAGATAGCTGTGTTGCTGAGGCTAGCCCCTGAGAGAAGCTCCTGAAAACAACCAATGAGCAGCATTTGCCCTTCTTGGCTTTTGGTTTCATTTATTTACTTGGTGTGTGTGTGTGTGTGTGTGTGTGTGTGTGTGTGTGTGTGTGTGCATACCAAGGTGCGCGTGTGGAAATCAGAAGGCAACTTGTGGGAGCTGGTTCTCTCCCTCCATCAAGTGGGTCCTCAGGCCTGATGGCAAGTGCCTCATCCACTGAGCCACTTTGAAGACCCAGCTTTTATCCATTTTTAAGTGCATTAAAACAAACTTGTTTCTAACTTAAATTTTTAAAAAGAGGGGAAAAAGAAAGAAAAAACAGGAAAAAATGCATTGCATTTGCTTTACCAACTTCAGGCTAGAACTCTGCACCACAAAAATAACTGTTTATTTGTGTAAAAGCATATTTCTAGCAGTATATTTTTCTGCCAGGTCTAGTACAATTAGGCAAATAATCCCAACTATTCAGGAGGTGAGGAAAGGTCTAATTTCAAGGGTTGCCTGGGGTACAGAGGGAGTTTAAGGCTAGTCCCTGAAGCACAGTGAAATTCTCCATAGAAATTAAAAGTAAAGAAAGGACTGCATGTGTAGCTCGGGGGCAGAGCACTTACTTCCCTAGTGTATGATTGACACTGCTTCTAGTCCCCAGCACAAAACAAAAACCAAAAACAAGCAAGCAAAGCAAAACAAAACAAAAAGCAGTGTCTTTTAAGACTACAGTACATTGTGGTCCTGTTGAAATTAGCTATAGCAGACTGATGAGATTTTAAGGAAGACTAAGTTTTAAACATATATTAACATATTTGCTGTATTACTAGGGCGTCTTTTAGTTATTCTTTAATAATTTCGTACATCTAAGCAATGTATCTTGATCATACCCGTCCTTAAGTCCCCCACCTCGCCCTCCCACTCCCATCCCCAGCAAGTTCCCACTTCCCCATTCATGTTCTCTGCTTTTTTGTTGTTGTTGCTGTTGCTTTTGTAATTCACTGAACCCACTGAGTGCTGTCTGCTGGAATACTGACTGATCTCGTGCAGGTAGCCATAACTGCTATGACTTCATGGCTGCAATGGCCATGTCATATCCAGAATATGCATCTACACCTTGCTTATAATATAATGTAATATAATTAATATAATAAAGTGTTACTTAGCAGTCTCACTATGCAAACCCAGTAGCATCACTTGACAAGAAACCAGACAGAGCCTCTGTCATATCATGAGCCTGTGTTTTCTGTAGTTCTTCCTTCCCTTCAAAGTAATCTTCCAAAGTGTTTCATTATCCTTTTCTTGTTATCCCGTTTCTTTTTTATACTCTTTATCTCTTCTCTTGGTTCTATCTGATTTAGTATCTGTTATGCAACTTATCAGGATTCATCTATACCCTTTCTCTTTGCCAAGGTTATCCTCATTTTGCTCTCATCCCTGTCACATTTGCATTGCATTAATTCACATTTTAAAGTCATAGTCATAAATATTTCTACCTAGTTAAATGTGAAAGGCCCTGGGCTTGATAGCATATCACCTGTTGTCTCAAGAAACTGGAAGCAAGAAGATCCAGTTGGAGGCTAGCCTGGGCTACACAGACAATTCAGGGTCAGCCTGTACTGCCTCCATAAACTTTGCCTTAAAGGAGGGGAGCAGGGACAGAGAGAGACTCACATTTCCTTTGAGGCGCTTCTAGCTGCATTATGTGTGCCAGGAGATTCAGGACCCTCTTCTACTTCTTCACATTCAGAAACATTTAAAACTTGACATCAATGCATCTGACCCATTCCAGTAAGATCAGTAAGTGCCCGGTAAAAGAGAGCTAACTGAGAAGAAGAAATCTTCAAAAGTGGGGTTTCCTCTAAGGTACTCCAGCAGACGGGGCAAAGAGAAAAAGGAAATTGAGAAAGCAACTCCAAAACAGTCAGTAGAAACTTCCAGAAGTGTGTCATATAAGATTTCTCAATGTGTTTTTGTTAGTCATGTGTTATGCTTTCAAAGGCAGTCAATGTTTGAGGTAAGATGGGGCTTAGAGAATTCTGTGAGTTCGACAAGATGTGCCCAGGATGTGCACAGTGCGTATGAAGATGTGAAAGCCTTTGCTCTAGAGCTAAGGAAGAGGGCGGTGAAGCCACTGGCTGAATCTCAAGCTCTTCCCAGGTAAGGGAAAACAGGCTTGTTGTGGCAGAGGTTAAAAGGTTTCATGATAAAGGCACTGTGGTGATCCCTGGCTCTGCCTACGGGATTGATAGATGCCATCCTAGAGCCTTCATCCAGTAGCTGATGGAAGCAGAAGCAGAGATCCACAGCTAAGCACTGAGCCAGGCTCCTGGAATCCAGTTGTAGAGAGAGAGGAGTGATGAGCAAAGGGGTCAAGACCAGGCTGAGGAAACCCATAGAAACAGCTAACCTGAGCATGTAGGAGCTCATGAACCCCAGTGTGACAGCTGGGGAGCCAGTATAGTACTGAACCAGGTCACCTGAATGTGGGTGTCAGCTAGGAGGCCTGGGCAGTCTATGGTACCTCTGGCAGTGGAACAGTATTTATCCCTAGTGCACTTTGGGAGCCCATTCCCCATGGAAGGATACTCTCTCAGGCTAGGCCCTCCCCCAAATGATGTGACAGATCTTGATGATTCCCCATGGAAGGTCTCACCCTCCCTGGGGAGTGGATGGGAGGTGGGATGATGGGAGGGGGAGGGAACTGGGATTGTATATAAAAAAAGATTGTTTCTAATTTAAATAAAAATTTATAAAAAAGAATGAATATTTTCATTCCTCCAAAATTTATTTGCTGAAGACATGGCACTTCTGTTGGTGTTTAGGGGTGGAACCAGGGGTCTCAGAGAGAGGAGAGTGGGGGAACCCTGTGGTAGAAGCGTCTCTTCCATTTGCAGGGATAGCAAGCGGGCCAGTGCGGAATGCGCTCGATGCATCTCTGTTAAGTAAATAGCAAAGTAAGTCTGTACGTTCTTGGAAAAGCTAAAGATTATTTCATTCCGAATTAAACTAATCATGTGATATGGTCACTTTTAAATGTAGTGTCCACTTTTGTAGTCGTTGAGTTTGTGTCGGCGGTCCATGTTGATGTCTAGGAGTTGTTGCTTCGATTTTGTTTGGTTAGCCAGGACTGGAGAGTTTGGTTTTTTTGGCACAGGGTCTCTCCATGCCCAGAATGAAGCCCAAGCTGGTTTAAATTACAATATTCCTGTCTCCATCTCCTGAGTGCTAGGATTATAGGTATATCCCATCACACCCAGATCTTAGGCTACATACATTTTTTTAGTAAGCTTAAGACAATACAACAATAACTGTAAGGTACATGTGCGTGATTTCACAGTAGAAATGCAATGCATGAAGACTAACTTTCGGACAGAAAGTGCGCATGCACAATCCTCACTGGTGTCCCAAGCACCATCTCAGGGGAACAGGCCACTGGTTCCCCGCACCAGGAAATCCAGGGTTACATTAAAAACATTTGTGGAAAGGCTGGAGAGGTGGCTCACAAGGACTTGAGTTCAGATCCTCAGCAACACATGTAAAAAGTCATGACAGTGGACACCTGAACCTCGGTGCTGGAGGAGGGGGCTGGGGGAGACGGGAGGGTCCCACTAGGGCCTGCTGGGAAGAGGCAAAGCTATGCCACACCAACAAGGCAGAGCTGAGAAAGCTACTGTGACTTCACTCTGGTGGCAAATTTTCTGATTCAGCGTGAGATCAGATCCCGAGCTCCTCTACCTTAGGCAAGTCCTCTCCACTACAGCTGTTGCCTGCGTTTTCTCCAGTGGTCGGTGCTCTTGTCTTCACTACAAAGACGTCAATGCCACTTCTTCATTGGAGAAAGAGCCATGTTCCTATCTTGAAAACAGCAGGTGCTTCCCCACCCACACTGCAGTGGCTCTAAAATCGTCTCCAGTAAGTGATGACTTGCATAAAAGTTGCTGGTTCATTGCCCTTCCACCAAAAGCATATGATGACATTTACAACATTCAAGCATCCCATAAAATCTTGAACCCCCTAACTGCACAGTCCTTGCAGAATTAATTTAACTAGAAAATGATCATCTTTTCTTAATATCTAATTTATTTTTTGTTTGTTTATTGATTTTGCTTTAGAATAACTCCAAGAAGGATAAGATAAATAGGCACAGGGGCTGGAAAGACGGATCAGTATCTGTATTTCCAGAGGACACAGCTTTCATTCCTAGTTCCAACAGGGTAGCTAATGACAATCTGTAACTCCAGTTTCAGGAGATCTGCTGCCCTCTTCTGATCACTGAAGACACTGCACAATGCATAAGCTATATGTACAAACAAAACACTCACATACACTTAAACAAATGAAAATAGCTGAATCTCAAGAAAAAAGTTTATAGAGAAGCAACAAACTAATGTACTTGCAAGAAAGGAAGTTACATGTAAAACCTACTTAGAATTTTTTTGAACTGTCTATCTTGTAAGGTGACTGGGGTCCATACAAATTCATTCCTATTTTCAAAAAGGGATTTTTTTCACAAGGAGCCCAAATTTTCTAAAGAAATTATTGATTTTATGTTATGCACACACACAAAGAAGAAATTATGAGCTTCATAATCTGTTTGAAGAGAAACATAATACAAATTTGCCAGCTATTTTAGAGGGCCAAGTCACATAAGACGCTAGCAGACCTACCCCTGCGTTTTGGTGCTATAAAGACAAGTTAGGCTTCCCGATGAATATGTCACTGGACGCTGGCACAAGGGAAACAATCTGAATGTCCCAGACACAGATTCTGGCTTCCCAGATGCTTGGGTTCTAAACTGGCTCCCATTATGCCATAAATCTTTAAATCCGTTTCTTTGAAATTAAACAAAAGTAAGTATTGTCTGGATGAAAATGAGTTGTAGTGTAGTTACCTTGAGCATGTGGCAGTGCTATTTTTAATTTTTGAGGGATATCTATGCAGATTTTCATTGTAGCTATAATAGTTTATGTCCAGCCAGAATCTCCAACTCACCCATTTGATCCAGCCATTCCTCCCTCTCCAAACCACACCTTCTCAGAAAAACAGCTAAAAATGTGGGGGCTTCTCCCCCAAAGCTGCTAGCTGCTGAAGACCCCACCTAAAAGCACAACATCCTTGGGCACAAACCCAGCTCGTGGAGGACATGTCATATCACCCCAGTGCGTACAGGGTATTTAAGCGCTCTCTACTTTAGCCATATGATTTTTCTCCTGCCTCCTTCCCCCACCTCGATCTCTGGGCACTGGAGTGCTTTGCTCAAATAAACCTGGCCACTTACTTTTTAATTCAGCTTAATCTGGTTTATTGCATTAGTAGAGAAACCTATAGAAAACCTCTCAGTTTACATCCCCAGCACCGATGTTCTTGGGTTCCTCTTTCCCACACATCCTTGTTAATGTGTTTCCTAGAAGAAGCCATTGAGGTGGAATCTCAGTACTGCTTTTTGTTTGGTTGTTTTGTTTTGTTTTTGTGTCAGAGCCTCACCACAGATCTCTGACTGTCCTGGAACTCAGTCTGTAGACCAGGCTGGCCTCAAACTCACAGATCCACCTGCCTCTGCCTTGTGGTGCTGGGATTAAAGACGTGCTCCACTGTTTCAGGCTTCTAGTGCTACTTTGATTTTCATTTCTATGACAGTGCAGGATGAACATTTTCTCATGTCTTTATTGATCATTGAAAACTTATTTCATTTGCCCATGTATTTATTGTCTGTTATGATTTGCTTTTTAATGTTTAAGTTTTTGAATTCTTCATTCGTCCTGAATATTAATCCTCTATCAGAGTTACTAGCAAATATTTTTACTCTGCTGTCTCTTCACTCTGCTGTTTTACACACACACACACACACACACACACACTTTCCCCTCTCAACTCTCCTCCCTTTATTTTAATACCTTACTGAATCTATTTAGTGCTGCTTGTATGTGCCTGGGTGTGGTACCATCTACCACACCCTCTCAGCCTCTCAGGCCTCTCAGGCCAACATCACTGAAGGGAATTGACTCTCCCTCTCCCAGTAGCCCTTAACTGTCAATGCCAAGGGATAGAACTCCATGCTGGGATTTTGACAGGTTTGATCTTATGAACACCTTGTTCATGCAGTCCCACCTGTTGAGTTCATGTGGACAACTGCAGTGTCATGTCTGCAGATACTGTTTAACTACAGACATCACTCCGTCTGTCTCTTCCCATCTCTCTGTCTCCTCTTCTGTGATGACCATGGCCTTGGGGGAAGATGATGTGAGACACAGATGTCCCATGTAGAGCTGATCACTCCACGGTCTCTTATTCTCTGCATGTTGACCAGTTGAGGGTCTCTATCATCACTACCTGCTGTAAAAAGAAGTGTCTCTGATGAGGGTTCAAAGATGTACTAATCTGTGGATACAGCAGTAACATCTTAGGATGTAATTTATTACTATGTCCTTTTAGCAGAATAACAGTGCCAGGATTCCCCTCCCCTCCCCGCCCTGCCCCACCCCGAGGCCTATGACTTAACCAGCCATGGATCTGGGACTCCATTAACACTACCAGTCACGTGTTCTGTCTTGTGGAGCAGGCTTTAAATCCAATGGGAAACTGGTTGTTTACTCCCATCGCGTCCGTGCTACTATTGCACCACTGGGCACATCTTCTCAGAGCTCACATCTAGGTAAGACAGGTGACTGCTCTTCTTCCCCAGAAGTGTGTGCAGAACCTTCCGTTTTGAAATGACTTTTTGCATTGTGGGAGATCAGGATACTAAGATAACTTTTCAAAAACCTAATACAACCATACATGGTATCACATACCCTTTATATCAGTACCCAGAAGGCTGAGGCTGGAGGATACCAAGTTTGAGGCCCTCGAGACTAAATAATGTCATCCAGCTTCAAAAACAAA